ATTTTGCGAATAAAAGTATATACACTCCTATTTTGGAATTTAAACAACATTTTAGTGCTATTTAGGACAAAAAACCATTATATATGCACAATATTACATGTTGGCTAAGAGTTATAGGGGAATGACATATATATAACATAATTAAGCAATTTTGTTTTCACGACTTTCACAAATGTAGAGCTTGAAATTCATGAAGAAACAACACACGATTGCTTTTGCTAGAAAAGGCCACATTCTAGCTTGACAAAATGTTTGATGTTTTTTGTATAGAAATGTTTTGACAAAACAACTACGGAGTACAACACATCCTTAAACTTCTCTTCGGTAAAATATATTCCATAAAACCGAGTAGTCTTCCTGTCCAGCCGACCTGATGGGAACCGTCGTCCGGCCGAGGGCATTTCGAGGACTTCCCGTTGGAATTTTTTGATCATGTTCTTCATGAAGGCTAGTTTATCCATACCAAATTTCAGATAAAATTTCAATCGGGAAGGCACTCAAATAATTTGTTGAAGTTAACTGGGCAGTTCATATGTATGAACTGCCCAGTTAACTTCAACAAATTATTTGAGTGCCTTCCCGATTGAATTTTGAGCTGAAATTTGGTATGGATAAACTAGACTTCATGAAGTACATTCTCAAAAAAATTCATCAAAAAATTCTACCAGGAAGTGACCGAAATTCCCTCGGCCGGACGACGGTTCCCGTCAGGCCGGCTGGACATGAAAAGTTGTCCTATAAAACCTACTTGTAATCCTTAGCAAATCAACATTCGGGATAATGCGATCATGAGCATTTGAAACCTTAATGTATTTGGGTTCGTTAGCCTAGCTGCTATATAACTTCTACCATGCCAGTGGTATAACTCAACTAGGTTATAGGGTGTGTTAGGGGTGGGCATAACGATTTGGTTTCACCGAACCGAACCATACCAAACCGAACTACACCGGACCATATGCAATTTGGTTTGAGTTTGGTACTACATCTTCCAAACCGTATTAAACCGATCCGAACCGAAACCGATAAAAACTGAACAAAACCGGACCGAACTAAAGAAATTCAAAAAAACCTTCATATATTATTAAAAATTAACAAAACCAAACCGAACCAAACCGAACTAAACTGAATTGAACCAAACCGAAAAATAGTATGATTTTTGTTTGGTACTAATTCTTCCAACCCGTTCCAAACCGAACCGAACCAAAACCGATAAAAACTAAACCGAAAACCGATATGCCCAGCCCTAGGGTGTGTCATTAAAGGGTATACTCGGGTTTAATTATTGACAACTACGTTATGAGACAATCTTGCACGATAAGGGCCCAATGTAATTAATATACGCAGAACTCATAGTGTCACACACTGTGTGTGACACTATTAGTCAGATTATGATTATAATTCAATTTAAACTTCATATTAAACTGTCTGCATTGTTGAGGGTCCCTCAAAGGGATTAGGTTGGCAAAAGTTAGTCCCATCATTCTGTGCATACTATTCGTCAATACTCATGTGACTAACTATATGCTACAAGCTCATATAGTATAATCGAAACAATTGTATTTTTAATTGAAGAACCAAAGATCAAAGTAACGTGGATGGATTATTCAAGTGTAACACGCACCTCAAGATCCACATTGGTTATAACCATAATTAACATTGTTCAAGGTTTCATTTTTGTTGACTATTCCAATAAATTTCTTGGTGATTATTTAACTCAACACATGGTGGATAGTTGCTAATATCAAAAGGTCTCTGATCTTTTTACTTGAGCTTCATACAAAAGGCTAAACTTGTGTTCCTATTGCCATTGTATGATGGTGTGTGTTATTTGATATTTAATGAACAATCGTTCGTAATCACGGCACAACTATTTTATACTAGTATTATACAAAACTTGAATCAACATGTCTTATGTTTTACGAAATAGAATAAGCAAACCATGACTCAAATTTCCAAGGATTATGTTATTTTCTCCATCTCATATAATAAGGATATGAAACTATGTATAAACATGTATTCAATTTTTTGGATGAAAGGTAAATATATTAAAAAATCACCCAAAAATAACATCATTCAATACAATGTATCACAAAATCAAAAGAAAACCAACAAAACTAGCTAATCTAACATAAAAAGGGTATCCAACATCTCACTCCCACCCCCCACCTTGTGGAAGGGGGTCGGGGAGAGAATTTTTAATAGTCCAAAAATCCAAAAATAGCACGGGACAGGCCCGGGCTTAGTTATCAAAAGAAACCAGTCCAAAAACCCATCAAACAAAGAACACTTGCAGCCCAATTGTGCAGCCCAAGCTTAAAACCAATTAAGGCCCGTGTCTTGGGCCTTAAGCAGCCTCAGGAAGCAAGTATTGAGCAACCAAATACATCAGAATATGGTCCCGGGTCCGAATCAATTAAGATCCCTCGCCAGGCCCAAACAACATATGTCTCCAAGAAACCAGCAGTCCACTTCTAGTTGTAGCCCAGCGAACAACAGCCTTCAGCAGCCTCCAGGACTTCCGTATCAGCGAACTCGATCAAAAAATTCAATTAAGTTAATAACAATATTGAGAAACCGGACTTTGAAGAATTTTTTGGAGGTCTGTGACGAGAGCCTATATTGTACAACCAGTACAGGCCATTTTTTTCGGTGATATTTTTGTAATTTAAGCGAAAAGTCACGGCTTACGCTAAATAATCAATATTGTACTTTTAGTGAGCATCTGACCTATTTTAGTGAGTATTAAGAGGCTAACAATGAGTATAATGATTTTTGCTTCATAGCTTCTATTTTTTTCTTTTTCTATTATTTTCTTTTATAAAAACTTATTAAATTATATCTATTATCTACTCCTATTAATTAATTTAAATATGTGATTCTAATGTAATATGATACTTTTGAAATATGTATTGATATGACATTTAAAAATAAACATAACATCAGTACCAAATGAGCATTCAAAGCTTACAAAGTGCACATTGATATGAAAATCATAAGGTTTATTGGTTGAACATCACAACATTTTAACTGAGTATCAAACCTCCGTTATTGAGATGATAATTATGGTTTCTGGCGAATGAGCATTAATGAACTTTTAATGAACATCAGAACAATTATGTTGAGTATTAGGAGTCTAATATTAGGAATCGCGATCTCTGCTTCATAACTTCTAATTCACTTTCTTTTTATTTATTTATTTTTATAAATAAATATTAAATTATATCTATAATCAATATGTGGATTTTAATGTAATATGATACTTTTGAAAAATGCATTTATATGACATTTTAAAATGATCAAACATCATTATCAAATGAACATACTTAACTTACAAAATGAGAGATATGAAAATCGTAAGCTTTGTTAGTTGATCATCAAAACATTTCTTTGAGTATCAACTTCGTTTATTGTGTATTTGAATCATGTATATGGTAGCTATGAAATATGCATTGATATGAAACTTTGAAATGAATATAGCATATACATACCAAACTTACAAAATTAGTATTGATATGAAAATCGTAAACTTTGTTAGATGGACATCAACACATTTTCATTGAGCATCAAATTTTCTCTATTGAGTACTAGAATCATTCTATATGGTACTTTTGAGACATGCATCAATGTCATATTTAAAATAAGCAGAACATCAGTACTAATTGAGCATACATAACTACAAAATGAGTATCGAAAATTCAAAAACTATCTTCATTAAAATACAAGTTGAAATTTTTGGGATTCCAATGACTAAAATATCAACCACAATCAAAAAAGAGAATTCTTGAAAATAACTGCGCAGTTAAAAGCGCAGTTATCTTCAAGAATTCATTTAAATGTCTTCCCGATTGAATTGTTAGCTGAAATTTGGTATGAGTAAACTAGTCTTAATGAATAAGATACTCAAAAGATTTTATCAAAAAATTCCACCAGGAACTGCCCCAAATGGCGACGGCCGGACAGAGCCTCCTATATAAGGGCTTATTTAATCTTTTTATGTAAGTTCGAGGGCCTATTTGACCTTTTTCCCGTTCCAGATTTGTTAAGTTTTTTAGGGCCGGTTTGGTAATACCCAAATTCGTTGTATTGACTCATTCTGTTAAAATTCATGAAAGTGTGACTGAAGTGGCTGAGTTGGCTGATTTTGCTAATTTATTAAAATTTATATTTAAAATATATTTTATTATTTAAATAAAGAAAAAATCATATGAAAAAATAACTAAAATGATCATCTACATAACTTCAACCAATACAGTCAGAGAAGTAACTTCAACCATACTTTTTCTTATTATTACACAATCCAACGCGAGAAATAAAAAATTACATGTTTGGTCAAAAAGTTTGCTGATAAGCCGAAAGACAAGATCACCAAACGGGCTCTAAGTATATTTAAAGAAAAATGCTACTTCACCTACTTGTACACGCCGGCTTATACGCCCGTTTACACACCGTTTTGTCTGTGCACGGACAATTGATTTTCGTTATAATAAAGAGCATTGTCTGTGATCCCGAAAAAGTGAATTTGTATGTGCACAAACAATTCAAGGTCACAAACAGTTTCCTTTACCAAAATGAAAATCAATTGTCTATGTACAGACAAAACGGCATGTAAACGGGCGTGTAAGAGAACGTTTACAAGTAGCATTTTTGTATTCAAAATTATGCCCTTCCCACTCCCTACCCCACCCCTTTCAATCTTTTAGATTAGAAGGATCTCAAACATTATAAAATGTTGTTCAATAGTTTTAATAATGCAAGAAAAGGAAAAAACAAGTGTACCGATCCGGAACCTTAATTTTTTATCCCGTTATTGGAACCGACCATTCCCGGTCCGGTCCAGTTTGAATGAAAGTGGAAGAAGCACCAAGAACTCGAAGAAAAGAACATAGCACAAAAAACGGTGGGATTGGGTGTCATTTAGGGGCATTATTGTCTCCCAAAAATTCAAGACACATATGATTCTGAAACAGAAAAATTAAAAAAAGTAATCCTTTTTATCAATACTAAAACCTTATAACACTTCTCCCACTTTTCCCCTGTGTCTCCTCCCCTCTTTTAAATTCATAAGCCTCTACCTAATTGCCACTTTCTCTGTCCGGTAAGAAAATGGATACATGGATTCATAACCGGAGCCTCCTCCTCCCCCTGAATCTTCTTCTTCTACTAGTCCCCTCATTGAATTCAATAGACACAAGTGAATCAGAAAGCTGCAATTTTTTTGAAGGAAGTTGGGTTGAAGATGATTCTTACCCACTGTATGAAGACTGCGAATTTATTGACGCCGGGTTGAATTGCCAGAAGAATGGCAGAAGTGATGAGCTTTACCTCAAGTATAAATGGCAGCCTACTAATTGTGACCTTCAAAGGTATGCACACAATTATTGTACATCCTTATACTAACAACAGAACAGTAACCTTTCAGTTGCAGTCTTTGTTTGCTGACACAGAATTATTCACGGGTTTGCTTCAATTTCTATGAGATATCTTAACGGATACATGTCAGTTTTTTTTTTCAAAGAAGAGATAGTTGTTAATAGGCTTAAGTTATAATTGAAATAGAACAAGAATAGCATTAAAAGTTTTGAGTATTTAAATTATTTTATTCATAGGAGGAGAAGAAAATTTACCCAAACGTTATATGTACATGTTATTTCTTTTTTAAAATATGATTCATTAACTTAATGAAAAAGGTTTCAACTATATAGGACAAACGGTGCCCACTCTAGGAGTAAAACGAAATGTCTCTGTATGTGCAATTCAATTCATTCATGTTTTATTCCTATATGAAAATTTATGTATGAAATTCGTGTTTTTTTAGTCACTTTTTGTTAACTTTGATTACAATTTAATTAAAAGAATGTTAATGAAATGGAAGTACCCTTAAGCTATTTTATACGGAGTATTATACATTCATGTTGTGTAAAACTTTGTCAAAGTTGACTTGTATGACTGTACATTGAATAACAAAGTAAAAGAAAAGTGTTTGATGCTTATAGTAAAATTTTCTCACATAGTAAAAAAACTATGTGTTAAATTAAAAAACTTTTTATTTTTCATTTTTTATTTGATAGGAGTAGACTATTATTGGTTGGGAGAGGAGTAGTTGGATGGGAGGGTGTACTCTTTGCACCTCTTTATGGAAAGTAGAAGAGCAGAAGAAATCCTTGTTTTCATTCAAAGATGATGAATGAATTGTGAACCTACCTTCTCTTAAGACAATGATTGTTACCAAAAATACAGAGGTCATCATTTCACATCGGAACCAAAGAGTTACATTGGTACGGAATATGATTTATTCATAAATACGGAGTATATGGTTCCTAAATTAATTAGTCTTCTAATAATGAGCATTAAAGAAAAAGAATCCACACATGGTAGATTTTTGTGAGAGGAAAGAAAACAAGTACTCCGAATCAATCTTATAGAATTGTTTTTTGAAAAGGAAAACTATGATAATTAGTGAATGAATTAAAAAAAATGCAATATTAAAAAGGGCAGGAGAGAGTATTTAAACTAAGAAAACTAGAATCAATGCAAGCACCGCCCATATTATAGTCCAGCTCATTAGAACATCTAGAATGGTTAGCTAAACATGTTGTAGCTTTGTTTGGCACATCATTTTTTCTAGCTAATCCATGTGATAGTCCAATGGTTAGTCACATTGCTTGCATCTTAATTGAATAGGCCCCACAAATCAATCAATTTTGAAAATATACATTTTGAATGAAATGATTTATTAATATAAATTTTTTTTGAAATATTTTCAAATCGATCAAGTTGACATGGAAACGTAACCAAACTTTGACAGATAGATCAAGTTGGTCGTCAACTATGGCTTTGACCAAACATTAATCCAGCGCCCAACATTAAGAGCCCGTTTGATAAAATTGAAATTAGTTGAATCAGCTGTTGAAATTTATGAACTTCTAGAGGAAGTGGTTGCATTGGTTGATTTGCTTTTTTTATGAAAAAATTATATTTAAAATATATTTTATTAACAAAATAAAGAAAAAATAATATTAAAAATAGATAAAAGGGTTCAGCCATTACACCCTGAAAAGTAACTCCAACTTTACTTTTTCCTATTTATACACAACGTGAAATCAAAAGTTAAGTGTTTGGTTAAAATGCTGGATGATAAACCTGATAAACCGAAAAACAGAGTCACCAAACGGGCCCTAAGCCGACAAGGGTGAAAATGTATATTATTTAAATTTGTACAATAATATGCATTTTGTTAAGTAAAAAAAAAAGGAATATCAAATTCAAACAACACATACATACCGAAAAATATGAACTTTTGCTTAAATATTTCATGAGTAATACTTGTTGTATGGATTTTCATAATTCTCTATTTGAAGACTTTTCGTATGAAAAATAAATAGTAGTGGCAAAAGAGATGGAGTAGGAGAAAATATTGTATGACTCAATTTTCCAAGCATTTTCTACATATAATTAACGGTATGTGATTAAAGTTACTTTTAATTAATTTATTATATGAATTACAAATACATTAAATATTTGGTAATTACCATTTTAATTCAAGTTTCTATCCTTTCTAGCAATTAGCTTGTTTTGACTAACTTGCTTGCCCAAGCTAGAATGATATATGCACTCCAATGGTGGGCTAGTAACTTCAAAATTGCAAGCAAGTCCTTAGAAGCAACCATTGGAGATACTCTTAGTTCTCTATAAATACCCTATGGGGGGTTTTGTGAACCTAGAATCAATATTACACATTCAATACGCTATTCATTTTCTTCTCCATTTGAGCTCAATCTCACATAAATTATATAGATTGGATACCCTATTATCCATCATGACCACAATTAAGAATGTGGTCAATTAGACACATTTTTGTTATATATTTGAATAATTTTTGGATTATCAATTAGACATCTGTATAATATGTATTAGGAGTATTGAATTTCGTATGTTGATCGACCATATTTGGTACTCCCTCCGTTCGCAATAAAAGTCACATTTTCCTTTTTTGAATGTTTCAAAAACAAAGTCACACTTCCCTTATTCTTTATTTGGCAAAGAAATCTACATCAATTAGTGTCAAACAGTGTCTAAACAGTGTCAAACAGCGTCTAAACAGTGTTAAACAGTGTCTAAACAATGTTTTCTATGATAAATTCAATTTATTTCCTCAATAATTGTGAAGTCAAACCATGCCATTTTTTGTGAAACGGAGGGAGTATTATTTTTTTAAAAAAAAAATCCATTAACACTATTAATATTAGAAAGCTAGCTACTTTAATGTTAAGGCTTTGCTATATCCCGCAAGAAGCTATCTTCTTTTCATCATGTTACCCATTAAAAATTCATAACCACAATTAAGAATGTTATGTTGGATATGGACATCTAATGACGAAATACTAATCTCAATAGTTGCTTAGAGCATCTACTAACTACTATACAAATAATTTTACTGTTGTCATACAACGAAGTCAATCTCAAAATTAATGATCAATCATCACTTTCAAACGTACATGAATTTAATTCTTTAATGAAATAAAGTAGCTCAAATGGATAATGCTATACGCATGACATCAAACGTAAAACTTTGTCCAGAATCGATCAAAATATTTGACTTTAGATATTTTGATGAAATAAAATAAGGACGAATCCCTTATAACATCAAGCATTTTTACACAAATACAACGAATTCATGTTTGCTCCCAAATACGGAGTATTAGAGTATTAAGTAATCTCACCATTTATTTTTCTCCACCTAATTAACCCACTTCAGATATACGAAGTACCAAATAACCTCGGCCCATATTAGTTTTTTGAAAAGGACGGCCCATAATTGTTAGTTGTTCAAACATTTCTCATTCTGATAAAATATGAATTATTAAAATATTATATAAGATCCTGAATCACTCTTTCCATAACCCGTTAAGATGAAACTCTAAGACGATTATAATGAAACGATGTCTAAATGGAAGAATATTATATCAATTCTGTTAAATGTGTATACTGTAATTGTGCATGCACATGAAATAACATATACGGAGTAATTAATTAAGAAAAACGTAGGATTACTTGCAACTAAGCCCAATTTAAGTGTTGTTTCCTTAAGATGTTTTTGTCCCACACACGTAGCAAATGCCTCCTACGATAGAACGGTTCTTCGCTCCCAACAGGATTCCGACGAACTCAAAGATGCAATGAAGGAAGAAAGAATATGGAGGATTGTGTGATGAATTTTGGATATCCCAAAATAGAAGACACCTCTTAAAAGAAAGTTCATGACTTGTCATTTAAGTAGAATAGTCATGTCTTTTCTATTTTACTTTTATCCGAAAAAAGAATAAAAAACGTACCAAAAGTATAATCTCAAACCTTAGCCACACGGATTGTTGAACACCGGAGTTAACCTGTCAAAGACTCGAACCCGACCCGACCGGCCTGATGGCGGTGGCGTGCGTGTGAAGAATTAATTCCACTCTTAGGGTTTTACCGCACAACAAAATTTCGGTGCCACAAGGGCCCAATACAATAGCTAAGGAAAGTTTATATAAAGGCACATCCTTAGCTCTCTTTTTTCGGTGTGGGACAAAGTATTTTTTGAAATTTGTTTTTAAGCAAGTTCGGGGAAGATTTCTCATTCATTTCTAAATGGTTTTGCACATTTTATTATATGGTCGTGTTCACCTTTCGGAGGACTACGTTAGAACTCAGTCGTATCACAAACTAATTGTACGGATCCTTTATTTATTTTATCTCAAAGATGACCAATATATTAAAGTAAAACATCTTTTCCAACAAATACACGATGAAATACTCTTTTTACGCTCTAATAAAATTTAAACTAAATTGTTATGCATCATAATAAGTATGTGTGTGTTCTTGTACTGTTTTTCAATACATAGTATGATTAAAATTAGATACAAATGGTTGCCCTATATATTGTGCTTTTCATCCCGGCCGGGTGGCGTCCATATAAATTAGATCGATCTAACTTGCACAGAAAATTGAACAATGTTTTTAATTGATATCAGTGTGTCTTGTTCTATTTTTTATCAATAAAAGTATAAAATCATATTTCTGCATTTTACATTACAAAGAGTTGTGTTAATTTAGGTTTGATGGGGAAGCTTTTCTACGAAAGTTTAGAGGGAAAAAGATTATGTTTGTGGGAGATTCACTTGGAAGCAACCAGTGGCAGTCGCTGGCCTGCATTCTACTTTCTACAGCCCCAAATTCGAACTACACCGTCTCCAGAAAAGTCAATCGTTCCCATCTTTCATTCCCGGTATGATGAAAATCTGCACCGATTACAAATATATCCTCGGTTAGGATATATTTGTAATTATATACGGAGTAGTTGATATTGAATTCGTAAAATAATCCATACAAAATTAGGAATGAATTTATACTAGTGAGGCACAAGAAGTAACTTAGCTGGGCATAGTGACTAAGAAGTTAACATGGGATGAAACTTATGATGATATATACAAATAATAGAAATAATAACGAACTTCATAATGTTTTCTTTAAAGAGAAATAAATGAGATACCCTGTGAACTGATCAAAAAGTAAAGTGCTTGAATAATACAGGAAAGATGCGATAATTTGAAAAAAAACGTGACTCAAAATATCGTGGGGAAGTGTTTGTGCTTGAAAAGTAGTTTCATTTAGAAATTATATACAATCACGAATAATTAGAAACGATTACATATATATGACTAAAATAAATGTTGTTTACTAAAATGTGACCTCCTAAGTGTAGCAATTACAGTAGTTACTTAGTCAGTTAGTCATAGTAAGTTTTGTTCGATTTTTATACTTAATTGACTATGAGACTATACTATAGTAATTATTACTCCGTATTAGTCATAGTACTTCTTGGCATATCTCACATTAGCTAAATAATACTGATGGATCTTATTGTTCACTTTGAGAGGACTATGAGATGGATGTTATATTCTTGAAAAATGGGTTTCTGGTGGACCTAGTCGACGAGGAAGTGGGCCGAGTTCTTAAGCTAGATTCCCTTAACAGGAGCAAACAGTGGGAAGGAGTTGATATCTTGATCTTCAATAGTTATCATTGGTGGATTCATACTGGACGTCTCAAAACGTAATTTTCATCTTAATCCCCTTCCTCTTTTTGTTCTTACATTAGTGTCTATTAACTTAGAGCTACTGTCTTATTATGTTTTGTTACAGATGGGACTATTTCCAGGTTGGTGAAAAGCTCTACCATGAAATGGATCGTATGGATGCCTACAGGATTGCTTTGACTACTTGGGCTAATTGGGTTGACTCCAATGTTGATCCCTCCAATACTACAGTGTTCTTTCAAGGAATTACTGCAGTCCATTATAAGTAAGCTTGCCTGCAATGTTATTTAGACTTAAGTTCAGTCCTATTATAACTATTATGATCTTTAGTTTAGTTTCATTCTTCATCAGCAACATGGAGAAATAGTCTCTGATATGTGATACCATAATAAGACTTGAAAATTCATATGAACTTAATAGGATGAATGGTTAATGATCTTTTATGTGGCAATGTACTTTTATATTTGGCCACTGCGAATGACTTAACCTTAACTATATGTGCTCAGTTTGGTTTTTATCGGGCGAATAGAGTTGCACAAGCCTCGTTGGAGAAGATCAATCTTGAAACTCGTAGGCTCTTTTTCATTCTTAGTTGGATACATTGTGTTTTGAAGCTAAGTTGACTCATAAGTATTGTAGGACATTTAAGTTGTCTCCTTATCCAAACCGTGTTGAACAACTTCGGAGTGGATGAATAGGTTTACTGATATCAAATGGTATACCTTAATTGATGGAACGACAAATAATAAAAAATCACAATCGGACCTACCTATGATACAACATAAACTCGGCCTAACTCTTCCAAAACCGACAATGTATATTAGCTACAACTCTACAAGTATGGTAACCATTCGATGTAAGCCGCTCCAGTGCTCCACATTTGTATCTTTATATTGTGGCTAGTGCGTGAAGCATGATGAGTTAAGAGAACTTCTTCATAAAGGGAAAGCTTAAAGCTCATCAAGATAATTAGCACATTATTCATTGTTGGTGCTTTACAGTGGTAGCGAATGGGACGAACCATCGGTGCAAGACTGCAAGTGGCAGAGGAAGCCAATAGAGGGATCAAGTTTTCCAGGTAGGAGATATGCAGGAGAGGCTGTGATAAAAGAGGTGTTGGGTAACATGACAAACACAGTACATTTGCTAGATATAACATTGATGACTCAGTTGAGGAAAGATGGGCATCCATCCATTTATGCAGGAGTAGGAGTGGACTGTAGCCACTGGTGTGTGCCTGGAGTTCCTGATGCATGGAACCAAATACTTTACTCTCTTTTGATTTAACATTAAATTCTTTGTCTGGCATCATATGTTGGGTCAAGCAGAATAGATCAATAGAACATTATTTTCTTGTTTACGAATCAAATGTTAAAAATGAATATGATGATGAATTATTCTAAGTTATTCTGTAATGTGTAATACTCATTTGATTATAATTAATGGTGTTTTTAATTAGACTGAAATTTCTGATCATATATATCATCTGGGTGGTGTTATTACAAGATAAACCCTTTACAATACGGAGTATTAGAGTTTTGGGTGGAAAAAATTAGCTTACATTCATGAATACAGTACAATCAAATTTAATCTGAAATTGAACTAAATAATAGAGACCAGTTTACTTTAATTAGACAAATGCTAATCACTCACCAGTCACCACCTCTATGGGTTCAGATGTATTTAAAACTAGTAGAATAATTTACTCATTGACATTCCTAGATAAACTCTATGATTGATTACAAAAAACAATACAAATAATAACTAGTTATTGTCATATTCAGTAGACTTTATTGATCTAATTTTAACCCCAAAATAAACTCATTTAAAACATAATATAGTTATTGTCATATTAGTAGACTTTATTGTAAAAAATATAAAATTTACAATAACACATGCAAATAATTCCAAAACACGTGAAATTATTTTGATTGTTTTATTCTTTTGACATTTTTTCTCTATTTTTAAAATTTTCAAATTTTCAAGTTTTTTTCGAAAATCACTCATATAGGAGTATGGAACTGTTAAAGGAGGTTAAAAATTGGTAAGCCGAGTACTTTTTCAATTGATAAATTTAAGAGGCTAGTTTGGTGACCCCTGTTTTGACTTCGTCTGCTAAATTGAGTAATAGTAAGAAAAAATAAGGTTGAAATTATTAATCTAATTAAAGTGGCTGAAGTTACTGTCGAGCACTATTTTTCATATAATTTTTATTTAGTTTTATTTATGAAATATATTTTAAATATTTTTTTTATAATTCAGCAGATTCAATCAATTCAACCAACCAATCTAGTCATAATTTCATAAATCTAAGCATATTCAGAGGCCGTTTGGCAACACTGTTTTTCAGCTTATCAGTCAACTTTTTCACCAAACACGTAATTTTTACTTTGGCGCACTAAATTGTGTAATAAGTAAAAAAAAGTAAGGTTGGAATTACTTTTCTGACTGTATTGGCTGAAGTTACTATAGATGACCATTTTAGCTATTTTACATATAATTTTTTCTTTATTTTATTAATAAATTATATTTTAAAAATAATTTTTTCTTAAATCAGCAGAATCAACCAATGTAGCCAATACAACCAAATTTCAGCAGAATCGGCCAAAACATTCGATTTTCGTGCTACCAAATAGAATCTCAATCGATTCAGACAATTTGAGTCTAAAATAGTCGAAAGACGTAATTCCTTCAATATAAAATGCAACATCCATGGGAAATGGACATATGTTGTTTTTTGTTAATTAGACAACCCAAAAACAATGACATTTAATTTTCAACCCCAATGCCCACAACTGGAACTGGGGGACAACAACCCGGTGTTGGCAACGGAGTAGTTCTCCGTTTTTACTGGCACCGTCCCTTCTTCTTTGCCTACACTCTTAACTTTTTTAAATTTTTAGTTGTCGGGTTAAAGTTAAAACCACAAATTCCCAAATTTCAGATTGGTTTACCGAAGACTCCCATGTTTATTACTTTTGGTATTGCCACACATGCACGTAGCATTGTAGCAGCTCAGCAAGAACGAAAGACATCAGCCAGCGAAAGTCAAATGGTCTCTCTAATTGATGCCGATTGCCGATCATATGTGGTGAAACTCATGAATTTACTCCATCTAGTGAGAGTCGTTTGGCAACACAGTTTTTCGGCTTATCAACCAATTTTTTCATCAAACACGTAACTTTTGCTTTCGCGTGCTGAATTGTGTAATAAGTAGAAAAAAAAAAGATTGGAGTTACTTTTCTGATTGTATTGGCTAAAGTTATCGTAGATGATCATTTTAACTATGTTTACATATAATCAGTTCTTTATTTTATTAATAAAATATATTTTAAAAATATTTTTTCTTAAATCAGCAGAATCAGCCAATTCAGCCACTTCAGTCAGAACTTCATAAATTTCAGCAGAATCAGCTGAATCAGGCGATTTTCGTGTTACCAAACAGGCTCTAATTAAAATGGCGAAATCTCTTGAATTATCAAAAAAATTATTATTCAAAATATATTTTATTAGTAAAATAAAGAAATAGTTAAATGAAAAATAGCTTAAATCGACTTCTTCACCAATTTCAGCAAGTAAAATAACTTAAACATTGCTTATTTTGATTACTATAATTTCAAAAGTTATGTGTTTAATAATAAAAAAAGTTGACTGATAAGCGTGATAAATCGAAAATAAATGTACCAAATGACCTTTGAAATAGTGAAATAGAGGACCAAAATCAAAATTATACGAAACCTAAAGATCAGATGTAAGCTGAAACATTTTAAAAAATTGTCTAAATAGGTATAAAATATTTTGAAAATCCCAAATAAGTATAGGAAGAAATTATGACCATATTATACCATATTTAAAGCCTTATAATGCAAAAATATGTCAATTAACTTTGACAGTAACAGACTCATAATTAGGGAGAATGTAGTACTTTTATTTTTGAATTATATATCATTATTCTTACACCTATTTCAGAAATTTCCTCAACATTTTATTGAATTGATATAATTCACTCAAATAGCATTACAACGTTTTAAGATTTCGATCTTTTTATTAAAAATTACCGTGAACAATATATTCTTCAATTAATGAGAAACATTTTACTATAATAAAAGCATTGAACAAAAGTGCAATTTTTTTATAAGTGATCATTATTATGTTTAAATTTAGGTTTAAATATGTATTTAATCCCTGCAAATATGACACATTTTGTTTTAGTTTCTTGCAAAATATTTTCTTTGTTTTTCATTCATGAAATTTATGTTGGTCTCTTTTTAGTCCATGACTAATGATAGCAACCACTGTTTGACAACAAAACAACCCCGACTAATTTTATTTTTTAGAAAAATCTTAAGGCATATTTTAAAAATGTAATAATTAGTTTTGTTTTGTTTTTAACACTCATATTAGTCTCAAAATATTATTAAATGGCAAATTTAAATATTTTATTGTATATTTATGCAACTGACAATAAACATTTTTCTAAGTAGAGTTGTTTCAGAATTACAAATGGACTAAAACCAAAATAGAGCATATTATAGGGATGAAAAGCAAAGAAAACATTTTGCAGGGATCTAAAACAAAGTGTGGCATACTTACTCGGACTAAAACCATATTTAATACTTAAATTTACATTAAAGTGTGCACAGTGATATAATCATAATTCATAATATATGTGATCACATTGTTATCTACGGAGTATTTCTTTTTATAACATGAGGCAATTCATCTATACTGTATAAACATATATTACTCTGTATAGCTTGACGTACGTGCATAGGTATTATATGTCACCTAAGGATATTTTCTTTTCGATTGAAATTTACCGGATTGTTCTGATTTGTTTAAGTCTGATTTGATATGAGCTGATCAGGTAAAGGTTTGGTCTCTGTGTGTTTTATAACTGTCCAAATCTGGTCATATCTAATCTGATTTGTTTAAGTTTGATTTGATGTGATTTGTTTAAGTCTGATCTGGTATGGTCTGGTGTGAGACTGAAAACATTCCAAGAAATAACATCCTTACAATTGGGCCGGGTGATTTCCGATTTTTAATGGACAAAATTCTAAGGCCATCTAAGTGCGGAATAAAAAATTCATACCGCCATATCAATTCTGATCCCCCAAGTTCCAATTCCCCAATTCATAGATCGTATATGCTCAGTATCAGGGCGGAATAAAAAAATTAAGAAAATAAAATGAACCAGCAAAGATGACCGAAAGAGAACCCACTCAAAGTGAAATATAGGCCATCTAATTTATGATTCAGGTGCTATACTTTTACAAACTGAACCGTACGTCGAATACTAACCTAAATGCTCCAAAATAATTGGAATCAACATAAACTAATTGAAAGTAGCTGAACCAAAACGTAATTACATTAACCGGTTCGATTTTTTTTTTTTTGTTTTGACATTTGCCAATGCAAATCACTAAAACGTTACAAAACCCACAAAGTAAAACAGAAAAGTGTTTTTTACACACCTAAGGTGTACGCGTCCATGTACACGTCTCGTTTTGCCCATGACACGAACGATTTTCGGTGTCACATACAATGCGCTTAAAAATAACAAAAATTGTTTGTAACACTAACAATTTGGGGCATATAAACGGTGTGGACATCTCCAAGGTACACACGAAACTGGTTTGAGCTTAAAACCGACAAACTCCAAATCACAAACACCCCTTCAATTCTCAATATGACAGAAGTGATGATATGATTTTGTGCAATGGAGGGGCTCCATTCTCCCACGTTTGGTCATGTAGTATTATCTCATCTTCCACCATCGTCTTATATGTATTTTCCGTGAGCAGTCTTTATCCGTCAAAATCTCATTTCTATCTTCCAATTTCGTGCACATAAAGATGTAAGCACTAGTCTTAAACTTTCACTTTCTATTTTGTGTCAAAAACTATATATTGAAGCACTGGGAATAATGTTATTGTCTATTTGTCTTTTTCTCCCATGATGGAATACTGATTTTGTCTTTTGCGTGGTTTGTACCTTATCAATTATCGTCACCTCCCTCAATCTTTAACATATATAGGTGCATGTATATATATATTTCACATCCAAATTAAGATGCTACATCTCATTGACATGATCATCAAGGCCATGGATCTATCTCGCTCGATCACATCTATTAAGATACAATACCTTATTGACATGATCCCCACGGTACGGCCCTCCATTTCATTTTGTTCTTACACATATTCTATTTGGTTCTAGTTTAGCATTAAATGGAGTTGCGACAACTTCCTTCACATATAGTGAAATGAGTTCACAAATTATTCCATTCTATGCATGGATACATGCATATTTTGTCGAGTAATTTAATTAGACATGATTAAAATATACTCCCTATTTATTAATTACGGCGGTCTTGCATTTTTATAGACTTGTACATTCATGTGTTTGATATTATTTTTATAGTCTTGTGACATTTTTAATTTAAAGGACATTCTTAGCTTATTAGTACCTTCGTCAAATTTTATGTGTCTTAGTTTGACTTGGAACGGTTATTAATGAAGTGGTTGAAAAAGTAGAAATTGTGGTTGGGGTTTGAGTATAATAAAGTGAAATAGTGTAGACCGGCCACATACTTCGTATTTATTTCCAAAAGAGGAAATGAGACACTTCTTTTGGGACAACCCAAAAAGGAAAGTAGGACAGGTAAAATGGGACGGAGGGAGTACATTCAATACAACGACGATAGATTATTTATAATTAAAAAAAACACAACGATAGTGTTTTTCTTTCTTAATGAAAGTTCCAAGCCGATCAAAGTGGGAATATAATTTAATTTAGCAATTTGAAAGATCCATGCTAATAAATTTTATTAGTTGTGGTCGTTTTACTCATATGTTTAGGATGTCTGGACTTGTTTCAATTTCAATGGGGATTTGACAAGACCAATCTAGATTTAAATATATCAAATCACACCAGATTAGTGTAGACTACACCTGAAAATCTCAGTCAAAATGAAAAAGTATTCCTTCAATCAACTACTTTGCTTAGTTTCACTACCGTATGCAATATAAAGGAAAACAGTGTGATTTAAGTAGCTTTACAAAAAAACAGCGGTCAGCGTTTCAATTTCAGTCCGATTTAGTTTGAAACAGATTGAAATTAAAAAAGATTAACATATATTTGTTTTGGGTTTGATTCGATTTGGTTTGATTTTATTACTTCAATAAGATTTATTGAGATTATATTGAATTTTATATTTCGATTTAGTTTTATTCGATTTTCACTATCGCGGTTATATATGTTTAATATGATTAAAGAACTACTAAATTCAAAATGAATTGGATATCTTTCGTCGACCCATATTGATCGACATCATCACATCAATATGTAAAAAAATGACACGGTATATATATACATTTTTTAAACAATTAGTGGGAGAGTAATAATTAGCTCCCACCATGTTTACTTCACATTTCACATATCCAATTTTGTTTTCTAGTTGATATTAAATCAAGATTGCATTCAACTTCCCACCTCTTCGGTCCCATCAAAATAGATAATCAAACATAATACAAAGTATAAACAAATAATCAAACATAATACAAAGTATAAACAAGCTTCATCCCGCCGAAAAATGTTGCGAAGGACAGACATGTTACACATTTTGTGTATACAAAAATGTGTAAGCAAAACTCTTATCCCGCCCATATTTTCCTCTTTGAAGTTTGAAGCAAACGTACCATCAATACCTAATCACTCACTCATTATCATTATGATACGACGTTGAATTTGAACCTTCAACTTAACTATAATATTATAAGGTAGAACAAAATAAAATAAAATCTTCAAACAATTAACAATCCTGTATATTCTTTCCTAAAATCCTACGTACACTAGGGTCACCGACGGACTGGTCTGTATTAAGGATGTTTTTACTTGGACTGTAATTTGCCCCAGACCAGTCCAGACCAGATCAGACCAGTTCAGACCAGATCAGACCAGACTTAGATAGTTATAAAAATACAAAGAAACCAGACCTTACCAGACCAGACCAGACCAGACCCGCAAATTACAGTCCAAGTAAAAACATCCTAAGACGGAGACTAGTGTTCTCCATATACAGGTAAAGCTCTATGAGTGGACATATATGGTCCAAGTTCGGCCCAGTCCCTAAGGTCCTGGCCAGAACTTTAATTTCCGGTTCCGATTCGGCTAGTTCTGATTAGGGTTGTAAACGAACCGAATTGAGTCGTAGTCAGATTTTGTATTTGTAATTGTTTAATTTTTTCGAATACAAATTCTAATTGAAATATGAAACGAATATTAATTTCGATTTGTATTTGTTTAACAATACGAATAATTAACGAATCTTATACGAATATCGAATATATATTTGAGCATAGGTTAAATATTAGTCAAATATTAGTCAAATATCACTTTAAAATTTATGTTGTAAATGCATGCTATGACTTAATATGTGTTTTTAGAATTCAAATTTAATGGATCAATGCATTTTTAGATTGTGCACGATATACTAAAGTGAATCAATTTTATAATTAATAAATATAAATCTATTTCAAACTTTTTGAAATAAACATTAACACACACATATTAGAAACTATACTTATAATGTGTGAAATAAGTTGATAATTGTATACATCAAAGTCAAGCGACTCTAATTTTATTCTTCTGCATAATTATTTGAATTGTACTTGAAAATCATTTGAGTCAAAAATCTAATTTGTATTTGTATTTATACTCTGATTTATTACAGATGGACTTAGAATCTGTATGCATAAATGTATATATGGACCTTTGAGGGTATTACTATCATTTAAAAGTTATTATATTGTTATTATTATTATTATTATTATTACTAGGGAAAGTTCCCGAAATGGGACTAAAAAAGTTCGAAAATTCCAAAATAGGACTGTCATGTTTTTATTCCCAAAATAGGACTAATTAGTGCCAAATTTGGAAAATACTGTCATGTTTGAAGTCTGGTACTGCCAAAACATGACAGTAATTAGTCTTATTTTGGGAATAAAAACATAGAAGTCCTATTTTGGAATTTTTAAACTTTTTTAGTCCCATTTTGGGTAATCTCTTATTATTATTATTACTATCATTACTATTAATATTATCATTGTTATTAATCGAATATATTTGATTAATATTCGAATCGAATACAGTGATATTTGATAACAACTTGAATCAAATTTAATATGCATATTTGTATTTGTATTTGAATTTTCCGAATTCAAATTGTCTTATACAAATTCGAATCGCGAATCGAGCACAAATTATTTGATTCGTTTACAACCCTAGTTCTGATCCGATTCAATCAGGGTCGGTCCTGTATATTTGAAGATTTAGGGGCGTAGAATTAAAATGAGCTTAATCTTAAAAAATTGTAAAATTCTTTTCTGTCTAAAGTATAATAACAATTATTATTATTATTATTATTACTAAAATTGAATAACACTGTTTTTCAGATTCAATAATCTAATTTATTCGAAATTAGATTGGAATAATTGAATAACACTTTCTATAAATACACTTTGTTAGCATGTTTTTTTTATAAAATGTAGATTATGTCTAAAACAAATTAGCTTAAAATTTAATCGGAAAGTGAGTTAAATAAATTATTAAAAAACATTACGCCAAAATATGCATAAAACGCAATGTTTTTGAAAAAAAATTAACGGACTTCTAGATTGAATATTAAACTGAAATTCTATGAAAATAAACTAAACTTACTCGTATTTTTTTCTATTACATTTATCTCAATCACATACTCCCTCGGTCACAAATTATTTTGCAAAATTAATATTTTTTTCTCAACCAATAATAAAAGTCAATCCTCTCTATCAATAATTAACTCAATTTTTAATAATTAAAATTTACATATTTAGAAATCACATTAAAATTTCTTCAAACTTGTAAACTCCAAATTAGAATATAATTGAAAATTGACATCCTAATTAAGCAAATAAAATGAAAATCGATTGATTAAGAAAAATCAAATTTGCAAATCATTTTGGGACGGATGGAGTATTCATCATTTTTTTAAAATTTTAAGGAAAAATAATTTGTAAAAACGTCCATTCAGCCATTTAGCCCGAATGAGTGTATCCTTTTTCAATTTATTTTATGTAAAGTGGTCAAAAGCAGAGGATTTGAAAAATGGAGTAAAATGTCAATTCCACACGAGGTGCGTATGAACGGAACAGTCTTCTTTGTCTCTCTGTGACGCTTTCTGTGTTGTTCGTTTGTCTCTTTCCCTCCTCTCCACTTTTTTCCACACAATATATTCTTGCTTCTCCTGTTTCCATTCGGCGATTCTCTTTTCTTCCTTTTTCCTTTCCTCTGTTCCCATTGCTCCAATCCCATGGCTTCTTTTCTATGCTTGAGGTTGAAACTGAGGAGAAAGCCGGTCCGGGTCGGGGAATCCGGGTTCAAGAAGGACCCCGGTCCGACTAGAATGACAAAGCAACAGATTTCGAAGCTTACGATGAGCTTTTCGAGGAATCGGGTGATTGCTTTCGGAGGTTTCAGCACAGTGTACCTCGGGAAGTTCCCAGATTCCGGCGTGGCAGCCGTCAAGGTCATCGACTCCGGCAGCAGCCACCGCCTGAGCGCCGTTTTCCGGCAGGAACTCCAAATCCTGCAGAGGGTACAACACGAGAGTATAGTGAGCGTTATTGGGTACTGCGATGAGGGTGAAGAAGGGGTTCTGGTTTTCCAGTACGCTGTGAATGGAACGCTTCATGAGAATCTCCATGGGAAATGGGACTCTGTTCTTTCATGGAAGCAGAGGATGGGAATTGCTTATCAGCTGGCTCAAGCTCTGGAGTATCTCCATGAGAAGTGTGATCCCCAGATTGTTCATGGCGACATTAAAGCCTCGAATGTGTTGTTGGATTCTCAGTTTAATTGCAAGTTGTGCGATTTCGGGTCTGCGAAAATGGGATTTTCTTCCTCTGTTCAGCCGCCGTTATCTGGGCCGGAGATGATCGATGGCGGAGATAGAGGGAGGAGGGATATTAATGCGGCGACTCGTCCTAAATGTGGTAAATGAAATATCTCCATCGAAATTTCTTTCTGTAGAAATGTTAAATTATTTCTTTCTATAGTGGGTAAAGTCAAGGTCTCAGCTTATTAATGTGTTAGACTTTTAAAAATGAACAATACAATTAGTAGGCTCCAATCAACACCTTGATTTCATCAAGACTGAAAAAGAATATATATACATACTATCGTATTAAGCAGGTGTCGGCATATTAATTTGTAGTTACTTAATTGAACGTATATTAATATTCAATATTTCGTGTAAAAGGCAGAAAGAAATAAATAAGTTTGGAGAAATATATTTTGGTCCAATGATAAAAAATTTCCAGAACCAAAGATTCATTATTTGTTTGTTTGAGAATACGATGAAATAAAGCAAAATGGCTCACTTAACTGTCTGCTCTTCTTTGTTATGAAACATCATTCAGTCGGTCCATGCAATTTTGGACGTGATTTTCAGTATGGGTCATCCGGAAGCAGTCTCTATCTGCTTTAATACAGAAGTAAGACTGCGTATATAGGGCTGTGCACGGGTTGGGTTCGGGCGGGTCGGGTTTGCGAACCCTAAACCCGTTCGCGTTTTTTAATTTAAATACTAGGCCCGACCCTTTGATATTTCAAATCGGGTATTTCGGATATTTTTAAGTCGGATATTATCGGATATCGGGTCGGGTTTCGGATATTTCGGTTATATTAAAAAAAAATTAAACTGGATAATTAAAGTGTTTAAATGCCACTTTGACAAAAATTGTACACACTAGTGCACTAAACTTCCAAATTACACAAATAATTCAACACAAATTGCACAAATAATTACACAAACAATTGAACACAAGTATTAATTTAACATATTCAAAGTACACACTACATAATGTAATATATTTAGGATATTTCTGTTATATTAAAACACATTATAATTGGATAATTAATGTGTTGGAATGCCACTTTGATAAAAATTGTACACATTAGTGCACTACACATTCAATTTAAACAAATAATTTAATACAAATTGCACAAATAATTGAACACAAGTATTAATTTAAATATTCAAAGTACACACTAACCTATATTTCGGATATTCGGGCGGGTCGGGTTGGGATTTCACAAACCCTACCCGCCACCCGGTCCAGGCCCAATATTAATCGGATTTTCGGTTTCGGATTTTTCGGGTCGGATATCCACTTCGGTTCGGATAATATCCGGAAAAAATATCGGGTTTTCGGGCCGTATCGGGTTTTGCTCAGCCCTATGCGTATATCCGGGCCCCTCACCCCATCGTAGGTGGGAGCCTTTGCGGCACTTAGTAGTATGAATTAACACATCCCGATTTGGATTGTTAGGAAGGCTCGCTACACGCATGATGATGATGGGTTCTCCGGGATACACAGACCCACACTACTTGAGAACTGGAATCGCAACCAAAAAGAGCGACATATACAGCTTCGGGGTCATTCTTCTGGAACTGATTACAGGTTTGGAAGCCATTTCTTCCTCTGATTGCAGTGAAAGACTGGTATGTAAAGCAAAGGAAATGCTAAAGGATGAGTCCAAGGTTTCAGCAATGGTGGATCCGAGGCTGAATGTAAGGAATAATAATTTGGGAGTAGAAGTTGAAGCAGTGGCTTCCATTGCAGCTATGTGCCTTGTGGATTGTCCAACCCTAAGGCCATCTGCATCTGATATATTGGAAACCATGAGAATCAGAGTTCCCTCTGTTGGCTCTTTGTTCTCTAAAGATAAAGGGACAGCTTGATCCAGCAAGTTAGAGTCCTTCGTGTATGCGCGGGAGGCGTGTACACGCTTATTTTACACGTCACACAGGCATTTCTGTATAGTTTCTATGGTTTTTTTGACGATTAAGGGTGGACATTTATACAAACGTGTAGAAGGTGTGTACGAAAGAAAAAACCTATTTGCAATTATTTAGCTGTACATAGATACACTAGCTCCAATTCTTCTCTTCATACTTCATGTTTTCTACTTGAACATGAATTAGTTTATTCATCTCTTATGGGGATTTTTGGTTCATTTTGGTTGTCAGTTTATAATTTCCATCACTGGGGGTGTTTGGATCTGATTCTCAAAATTGATTCTGCTCCTTCATGAAGCAGAAGCAGAAGCAGAAGCTGGAGTGTTTGGGTGAAATTCTAGAAGCACTTCTGGAGCTCTAATTTTACTCTCAGAATCAGTTTTTTTAGAAGTTGGGGGTACCAGCTTCTGAAAACTGATTCTGATTCTGCTCTTACTTTTAAAAAAGAAGCAGAAGCAGAATCAGTTCCAAACACCCCATTATTAGTTTTAACTCAATCGTTCTCTCGCTAGTACTATTCCACAATCAAAACAAAAGCTCACCGACGTGATAAAACTAAGCATAAAAAACATTTTTTTATACTTCCAAGCATGGATATAATATATTAATTGTTTGAAAGGAAGGCACTTACTCATTTTTAAAATATTAATTAATAAAGATCGCTATAGATGTTTTATTGTCAATGGGTAAATAAATGTGATGTAGAAGCTAGAGATTTGAAAGGCATCGTCTTACCTAAAAAGGAAAGTCCCAATAGTGATGTTACAAATCGATCCTTGAACAGTTCAACAAATATTAAATCAAAAATGTTGTTTGTATCCACTTTTATACCCACTTTTGTACACACTTATGTTTGTGAAGTGTTTTTTTGTGAACCTCGGCTCACAGACAATATTTTGCACAGACAAAATATTGTCTGTGAACCTGGGTTCACAGACAAAAAAAAAACCTCCACAAACATGGTGGGTATAAAAGTGGGTACATCAAGCATTGTTGGAACATTTTTGATTTAATATTCGTTGAAGGATCGATTTGTAACATCACAATTGGGACTTTCAAATGGCAGGGTTCATTGTAAAGAAACTCATGATAGTGTAAGGGTGGCAAGGTTCGATTTGGCTGAATCGAACAGCATCAAATAGAACATAATCAAACCATATGAAATTGATTTGAGTTTGACAGTATTCTTTCAAGTGGCCGTAAATCAAATTTAATTCAAACCGTGAAAATCGAAAAATTCAAACAATTTTTTAATTTTGATTGGATTCTAATTTAGTTTCGTCCCATTAGCTTTCATCTTCTTGATGGTAATGATGACATCGATGCTAAGAAACTCTTGGTAGATATATAATCCAATTAGATTGTTATTCTCTTTCGGTTGTGTTGATTTAATTATACGGCGGTTCTTTCCCGGGTATTGGTGCTTCGGGTGGTTTAATTTGTCTCTCTCGATGTGGGGAGTTCTATTGGTGTCTTGGCTAGCTTCGTCTTGTCATGGGTTTCTGTCTGCTTTCTTCAGAGTGCGTAGACATTGGTAGAGTCCGTCCTTCTCTAGAACCACCTTTGTGCCATGTAGATTTTTGTGGAAAGACTTCGTTACAATTTTATGTACATTGTACTTCACATATTGTACTTTCCGGTCATCAGTACCGAAGAATAAGAATTATCGTTGCTCCATGTTCGTCTAGCATTCCTTGCTCCATTTTTTTTTTGGAGTCTTTTTATCAGTCTTTGTCCTTCCCAAGCTTCGTGATTACTTGTCTCCTGGTATCGCAGGAGACGTTCGTCATCCCCGCTCTGGGAAAAAACAGGTTTATCCACGTCGGGATTCCCTATCTCCGTTCGTCCCCGGCTGCGAACTACTAGTCTTCTGTCATCGCAGAAGGCTTTCGTCATCCGCTCATCAGGGGAAGGAACTAGGCTTCGTTCGTCCTTGTCGTGATCCTACTAATCTTCTTTCTTCGAAGAAGACGTTCGGTCAATCATCGATCGCAAGGAGGTCACTGGTTTACCCTATCGCGGGTTCCTTGCTTCGTCGCCCCATGCTCGTGGCCCTACTAGCCCTCTGCTTCAGCAGAGGACGTTCGTCGATCCACGGGTTATGGGAGGAACTGGTTTATCTTGCCGAGGTTCCCTTTGGTACGTCTAGCCTCCCCCACGTTTCTACTAACCTCCGCGTCGGGAGACGTTCGTCACACGCGGTGAAGGAAGATCAGGCATACCTCGTCAAGACTCCCTCTCTCATAGGAGTCGTATCTCCCCTTCTCCTCTCTTTTTTTTTTTTTTTGAGGAGGAAATCGTTTTAATAGCACTTCGGCTTTTAATCTCTCTGTAGGAAGTAAAAGACAGGAAGTAATCCCTTAATATAGATGAGACGATCAGCAGTGTTTACATGGTACTTCGACCAAATATTACAAGGGCGATCTATCTCTAACTATTGGTAGAATTTCTTCAAGTGTTCGACGTTCCAGGTTCCAGCATGGTTCCCCTCCATGGTATGAAGGAGGAACGTCCCCTGGTTGTATCTTCTCATGATCTTGTATGGTCCTTCCCAATTCTTGGCCATCTTGCCACCTTCGAGCGGCTTGCTCTTCTCCCTCTTCCTGAGTACGAGGTCCCCAGCTTCGATTTCGCGGATCTTCACCGCCTTGTTGAAGTATCTTTGGGTGGCTCGGTGATATTCCTCCATGCGACGAGCTGCTAGGTCTCTTCGTTCCTCAATGAAGTGGAGCTCCGCTCGTAGGTTTGCCTCGTTGTCCTCCGGCTGGAAATGCTTTGTGCGATGTGTGGGCACTAGCACCTCCGTTGGCACCTTGGCCTGGAATCCGTATGCCAAAGCAAAAGGTGTCTCGCCGGTTGCCGTCCTTGGGGTTGTTCTGTACGTCCAGAGTACGTAATTGAGCTGCTCCGGCCAGGTGGACGCGTAATCTTCCAATTTCTTTTTGATCTCATCCATGATGGTCCGGTTCATGTTCTCCACTTGGCCGTTGGCTTGCGGGTAGGCCACCGAGGCCTTAGAGTGCCTGATGCCCCACTTCGCCAAGTATGCCTCGAATCCTCTGCCGACGAACTGCCGGCCATTGTCGGTGATGACCTGCTCTGGAATCCCGAAGCGGCAAATAACATTCTGCCAGAGGAACCTCTGACATTGATATTCGGTGATGGAGGCAAGCGGCTCGGCTTCTACCCACTTTGTGAAGTAGTCAATCGCTACAATGACAAACTTCCTTCCGCCGGTCGTCGTCGGAAGAGGGCCCAGCAGATCTATGCCCCATCTGGCGAAGGGTAATGCAACCGTCATCGGGGTATAGAAGCTTGCCGGCCGTCCGGGGACAGGAGCATATTGCTGGCACACTGCGCATTTCCGAGTGTGATTGAAGCAATCCTGCTGGATGGTCGGCCAGTAATACCCCTGCAAGATGATTTTCCGAGCCAAGGTACGAGGACCCTGGTGACTGGAACAGACGCCTTCATGTATCTCTTCAATGACGGCCGCTGCCAAGCTCGGTGGGAGGCATCTCAAGTATGGTCCTCCGAACGTCTTCTTGTATAGCTGTTCATCAATGAGCTCGAAGTTGGGGGCTCGCCTCTTTATCCACACTGCTCGTCCTGAGCTGCCATCATCCTCAGGCTCGGGGAGCGTGCCATCCCTGAGGTAGTCTGCAATCTCCTTCGACCAATTAGGTTCGGCGATGGAGATGGCCTCTACCCGGATGACGTCCGTCGCCGGTGTTGGGAGTGACTCTTGCCTGACGAAGCCCCTAATGTGCCGGGGGATGCTCGTCGTGGGGTCATCGCTCGGGGGATTTCCTAGCTTGGATAGTATGTCAGCCTCAGCGTTCTCCACCCGCGATACCTGCTCGATTATCACCTGTTCGAATTGCGCGGTTTGCTCCTCCGCGAGTTCTTTGTAGATCTTCATTCTTTCTTCCCTGGTCTTGGCCGTTCCATTCATCTGGGTCACCACCAGCTGACTGTCCATCCTCACCTTCAGACGAGCTGCGTCGAGTGCCTTTGCACACTTTAGCCCTGCGATCAGCGCCTCATATTCAGCCTCGTTATTAGTGACTCTGAATTCGAATTTCATGGAGTAGTAGGCCTTGAAACCCTCTGGTGAAGTGATCACCGCTCCTCCGCCACAACCTTTTGCACTCGAGGCCCCGTCGGTGTACATCTCCCACCAGTTATCGAAATCATCGTCGCCCTGGGGATCGTCCTCGGTGCGCGCGGTGCATTCGGCAATGAAGTCTGCCAGTGCCTGTCCCTTGATCGTCGGCCTCGGCTTGAACTCTATGTTGTACTGGCCGATCATCAGGGACCATTTGGTTATCCTCCCGGTGGCCATAGGGTTCCGGAGGATCGTGGCGAGAGGTTGTGTCGTGTACACAGTCACTGGGTGTGCCTGGAAGTACGGTGCCAAGCGTTTGATGGATGCTATCAAGGCGAGGACCGTCTTCTCCATCAGAGTGTACCTAGTCTCCGGACCGTTCAGCGCCTTGCTCACAAAATAGATTGGCCGCTGAACGCCCTCTGCCTCCTTGAGTAGCACGGCACTCACAGCCAAGTCCGCCACTGCCAGGTACATGTACAGCTGCTCCCCGGGGTCTGCTTTGGTGAGGACGAGCGGAGAAGAGAGGTATATTTTGAAATCTTCGAAGGCAGCCTGACACTCTGGTGTCCACTCGAAGGGATTCGCCTTCTTCATAATCTGAAAGAAGGGAATTGCCCTATCTGCTAGCTTTGACATGAATCGGCTCAGGGCTGCCAATCTCTCGGTGAGGCGCTGCACGTCCTTCAGATTCTTCGGGGCTTCCATGTCAACTATTGCCTTCACCTTCTCCGGGTTAGGCTCGATCCCCCGCTCACTCATCATGTAGCCGAGGAACTTGCCGCCCTTGACAGCAAAAGCACACTTCTTTGGGTTAAGCCTCATGCTAGCCCCCTCCATGATGGTGAAGATCCTCTCCATATCCCGGACGTGGTCCTCCTTCTTCTTGCTCTTGATCAGGATGTCGTCCACGTAAGCCTCCATGGTTTTCCCTAGTACGTCTTTGAACAACATCCCGATCATCCTCTGGAAAGTAGCCATGGCATTCCTCAGGCAGAACGGCATGACCACATAACAGTACACGCCGTCCGCTGTGACGAACGCCGTCTTCTCTGCATCGTCCGGGTGCATGAACACCTGATGGTAACCTCTGAAGGCGTCCATGAAACT